ACACAAACACAAACTGAAGCTTTAATTCCCAATACAGGGCCAACTACACACACACACACACACCAATTGAAGCTTTAATTCCCAATACAGGGCCAATTACACACAATCTGAAGCTTGAATTCTCAGCACAGGGCCAACTACACATACACACACCAACTGAAGCTTTAATTCCAAACACAGGGCCAACTACACATAATCTGAAGCTTTAATTCCCAATACAGGGCCAACTACACACACCAACTGAAGCTTTAATTCCCAATACAGGGCCAACTACACACAATCTGAAGCTTGAATTCTCAGCACAGGGCCAACTACACACACACACACACCAACTGAAGCTTTAATTCCCAATACAGGGCCAACTACAAACACACACACCAACTGAAGCTTTAATTCCCAATACAGGGCCAACTACACACACACCAACTGAAGCTTTAATTCCCAATACAGGGCCAACTACAAACACATGCATGCCTACTAGAGTTCTATTTCAAGGAACACCAACAATGCACGAAAAAAACCAAAGTTAAACAAAAAAAATTAAAATTCAATTTTAGAATTTAAATATTTGTAAAAGAGCTTAGAAGAATTATGTCACGTTCTTTATCTTAAACTAATAAAACTTAGAAAAGGAAATACAAGTTGGGATTAACTGAAACTCAAACAATACAAGAACAAATGATATAAAATTCAACTACTTTTTAACAATGTTATCCAAAACAATCATTATAAAAATACTTGTACATTAATATGAGGTTCAAATCTTGTTGGTTTCCTTTCAGAGCCTTGGAGGAGAATTGCATAGTGGAAGTGCATAAGGGAAGATGTATTAAATAATAAGAAAGTCATACACTTCATAATACAAAGCGACTATAAACTCAAGTTTTTTTGTTGTTTTTTTTCTTATAAGCTAGAACAACTCATATAATTTGACTTAAAAATAATAAAAAAAACAACACTTACAAACAAAACCATTAAAACAATCCTTCTAACTATGTAAATGTTCTTGTCTGACTTCAGTACAAATGTAATGTAAAATAAATTATTTTATTACAAAGCTTAACTTTTACATGCAATAGGAATAACAATGTGTTATTGTTCTTTAACACATAAAACTGTTACAAATACAAGTAAAATTGCCCTGAACAATGTGAAAATATAGGTATTCATAGAAAATTCACTTTCCATGTGACTATTTATTCAATCCTTTCAACAAGAAAGTCCACAAAACTAAACAACATCTGTAACAAGTATATGAAATAAATAACACATCTGTTTGTTCATCGTATTGAATGCTTGGATTGAGCTCTGCAGTATTACTACCAGCAATTCCGAGTTCCTTCTTTGCTAATGACAAAGCACACTTTAAAGAATTAATGTGCTTCTTAGTAAAATACACCACTAGATGCCTTCACATGCTACTGAGAATTATATGATAATAAATTAGAAATACATTTCAATACAGACAACTCCACTATAGAAACAAGTTTCCCTTTTGATATAAGAGGGGAACTTGAAGTGGGTACTATACCAATACTACACTTCAAATCAGCGTATCAAGAGAATTATCATGATTTCTCATCCATCTACGATTATCATTATTACTACAGCTAATATTATTACTATAAAATTGGTTTTAATTAACATCAACACCTTGACATTACCAACAGAGCAATGAGGAATATAAAAGTGATATGATAATTAAGTATTTTGATGAGATCAGTTAAACAGCTATCACCTAAGCAAGGAATACAATGTTTATAGAACATTCACCAGTTCTACAAGAGTAAAACTATATATGAAACAGAACAAAGTATGGACTTTGTTTATTCACCAACACGATCCAAACACCGATTTATTTTAACCAATGTTATTAAATCTTCTAACACAATAAAGAAAATACACATATATTTCTACTGGAGAAAAAACTTACCTTTAAAAACAGTTAACTACTAAATAAATTATTGCCATAAAAATAAAAATTAATGAAAACCAAAATTTACAAAATGTATTATGAAGTAATAAGTCCGTTTTGTTGTTGGTGGTTTTTTTATTCAAACTATGTGGAAAGAGACTAAAAAAAACAAAAAACACTGAACTACGAGTTATCAACAGTTCCAGTCCAAGTTCTTTAAATCACATGAAATGTAATAACCACAAATACTTAGTTTTTAAAACTTCAAATAGACTGGCCATGTTATGAAGACATACTAAATACTTAACTTGTTATTGTTTTAAAAGATGTGTGGTCAAACATATACATCCACTTTCATATCAACGTTTTAATCACTAGGCCTACTTAGACAGTGTAATTAGAGAATAGCACAGTTCTTCACGAAGAATCAAACACTATAAAAATAAAGTTTCCTTTCTCCCTAGAAAATATTAAAACATGTAGGACTTCACATTCAGTTAAATATATAAATAATCACACCAGATAGTGAATTATTTGTAAAATTAGCAGCAATAGTTAACTTCTCTTCAAACCAGACTTGAGTTCGATATCCATGTATGGTGTGACTAGTAAAATCTCCAGCCCCAGACTTTACAGCCTCCTAACAGAAACTACTGTAACTGCATTTCTTTTATGTTTCAACAATGTAGCAATAAATCAAGAATAAATAAGAACAATACAACTGCTTAAACATTTAAAATCAACAGTGTTGGCACAAAAGTACAACAAAACATTAATACTCAAAAGTTCAGGATCTCCACAAACTTGAAAAAAGAAAACATGATCCCATCATCAGAAATATATTTTACACTGAACTAGCTGCAGTTAAAAGAATTACACAACAAAGTAAATTAATATCAAAGTTAAGAACAATTTCAACTAGTGGTCCCACTCCGAGATCACAGGTTCTTTGGCATATGCATGAATAGATGTACTATGGGTTTTTTTTTTTTATTCTCTATATTAAGATCATAAACATTAGTTTGCAATAAATAGGATAAAAAAAACTGTTGAATGTTAAAAATTATATTAGTAACTTCTGGATTTCTCATGAGAATATACAGCCTTCCTGAACCAAGTAATGACTAGGGCTAATGTGAATCTGAAACAAACCAACAGCACGAGAAATTTTTTACAATCCTCTGTAAGTTAGAAGGAAAATGTCAGGCATTAAACTTGTATTAAGTGTTGTTCTGAAACCCTGTTCTTTGAAAGGTATTCCACATTTCAAACCTATAACATTAAGGATATTTTAAACAAAATGAAACATTTCCGTAATGACAACATGACTCAAACTATTAAAAAGCTTATACAAAAGAAAGTATTATTATTAACCTAAATCAGATGTCAGAATGTAGCATCCAACCAAACTCTCCTTTAAAACTGCTTATCACAACATGGGTCACAGTTCAATAGAGCCTCCTCCAGGAACTGGCTATGTTGTGTACTTCTCGTACTTTTTACCACAGTTTAATCTGCCCAATTAGAGAAATCGATAAACATAAAGTCGATAGTCCTTGCTTGCCAGAACAACAGAACCATCATCGACAAGAGCCACATCAAAACACTGAGCATGTTTTACCTTACTCTCCAGAGCACTGACCAACTGCCCATCTTGTGTAAAAATGGTAATGTTGAAATTATTGTGATTATCAGCCACTAGAATTTCTCCAAGAGGACTGATGCACACACCAATGGGATAGTTGGTTATTCCCTCTCTTCCGATCTGCCACAAGAAGATTCCTTCATAGTTGAACACTTTCACACAGTGAGCTCGGTTATCGCTGATGAAGATTTCCTGCTTGTCATTAACGACCACTCCATTGGGGAACTCCAGGTGTTTGGAACATCCAAACTTGTGATGAACATTACCCAAAAGATCAAAAATGATAACACGCATCACCTTGCATTCCACCACGATAATACGACCTTTATTGTCAACGGTCACACCTCTTGGATGTTGGAGGATGTTGGCTCCAAACTTGCGGACAAACTGTCCATACTGGTTGTATATCTGGATCTGGTGTGTTGGGCTTCTCTCAGTAACAATTATATCACCAGAAGCCTTTACAACAGCAACTCTGTTGGGGTACAGCAACTGTCCATCTCGTTTCCCACATTCTCCAAATTGAAACTTGAACCGACCTTCCTTATCAAAGATTTGGATTCGATGGTTATTGGTGTCAGCTACTATGATATCACTCTGAACATTCACAGCTACACCACTTGGTTCTGTAAACTGACCCTCCATTACTCCAAACTCTCCAAACTTGCAATAATAGATCATCTTCTGACGCTTTATCTGAGACTTTAGAGGAAAAATACTTGAGCTGAACAACTTAGACGATAAGTCAAAAAGAGTGTCACTTGAAATGGGAAAAGTTTCTGAGCCATTTTGAAATATGTCACTAGGGGCACTTGACCACTTCTCATAAGAATTTAGATCTCCCAAATTAGTTAGAAAAGAACCAAAAGTATTAGTTGATCCAGACCGTTTTGAAATTCCATTTGAATCAAACATGTGACCATTCTGATGAGATCGTTCTGATCCAATTACACCATTTGGCCTTGCAATTGATTGTGGCTTGGTCTCTACAAGCAATTCTGAATTTTGTCGAAGATACCCAAATGTGTTTCGAACTCCAATTTGAATAGTTTGGTAATTAGACACAAACTTAAGATCTAGTGTATTTAATTCCACAGCTGGATTGAATCCAACAAGTTTTTGAAATTTTGAGGTCAACAACTGCTTAAACATAAGTATTTCAGTTTTACTTGAAAACTTTATCATTTTTTCCACAAAGTCACACATTTCATGGGTTTTGTCAATGTTCTCTTGGATGTTTTGACCAAGAAGTGAAAGGTAAACTATTTTTGAATTGAAGGCATCATCAAGGTCTTTTAGAATCTCTTTCTTTCTTTCTTGTAGAACTGAGCAGTAAAACTGGTGGGTGTCTTTGATTTCATTCTGTGCTTTTTCATACTGGATTTGGTAGTTATTGGAAGAATGTTCTATAGTTTTCAAAAGATTTTGCAGGTCTGTCTTTTTCAGTCTGGAATCTTCAATCAAAGAACCTACAAATTCTACCTGCTTATGTCCAGTTTCTGCCAGATGGTCAAAGTTGTGTAAGCCTTTTGGATGTTCAGTTATTATACAGTCTTTGCAGATCAGGACATTACAAGTCTGGCAAAAAAATTCCAAGATTTCATATTTGTGGCATGAACAAAAGATAGGTTTCTCCAACTTTCTATCATCTTTACTACTCTGCAACTCTCCCAATGTGAGAACCCGATGCCCTTCAAAGCAGTGCATGAACTGGTGAGCCATCACGCAGTTTGAGCATAAGAAGTTGGCACAATCAAAACAACGAGCAACTGCATTGTTCTCTTTAGTTCTGCAGCCAGTACAGCAAAGGGAAGTTGCTTCCATAGCATTTACCTCCAAAATATTGCTAATGGCATAATCTGAGAGAAGACCAGACACACCTTGGGTTGTCAATAGGCACTCTTCTTGACAATGTGGGCACTTGATCTTATCTGGAGATTCTTGGATCTTTTCAAGACAGTGCTGACAGAACGTGTGAAGACATGGTAATACTTTGGGGATGGTGTACACTTCCTGACAGAGAGGACATTTGGTAGGAAGACTCTCCTGCAGGCTGTGGTCAGCACTGGCTGATGTGGTGCTAAAAGCTGTTGATTCTGGTAAAGAAAGTGTAGGAGATGCCATTCTGTAATTAGAATCTTTGGTAGATTTCTTGAAGAAACAAAAACCTGCAATAAAGAGATAATAACCTTACACATATCATAAAATAAATACCACCACTTGATCATTTCAGTATAACAAATAATTTTAGCACCATTTTGCAAAACACAATTTGTGTGTGCAGTTGTGTTTTCATACGTAGAACAGCTATACTAACATTAGCGTCCCTTTTATATATACAGAAAATTCTCTAAATTAAATAGTTGCAAAATTTAATGAAAGTTTTAGGCATTGTGTCTTGACATATTGAATGTGAAACTATTCAGCAAATCTAAAATTTGATATTCAGTGTTAATATTTCAGCTATACAGCTAAATCAAGCAGATATCCTAACAAATACACAACATGACAAACATTTATCACTATTTTGTTGTCAAAAAAGTGTAGACAAACAACAATTCAGTATTAACAAAAGTAAAAATTTGCACACACACACACAACACCAGAACCAGCTGTGTGATGTGATCACTGGGAAAAGTATGCTTTCATTCAAAGTTTGTTGTTAATACATTTTTTAAATATTGGTCACGGGTTGAATAATCAGACTAAAATCTCACTATACTTCATTCTGTTATCTTCATTAGCTAAAGAAAAACTCGGTTTAACCACTTTCAAACTAATACTCCTACTTTATTAGAATGCTTACTTACAGATGTGATATTAAGCATTTTAAAATTATCTTTACTTAACTACTTTGCTCTCAAAGTTACCAAGAACTTTAAGAAGTACATACCATACCTAAGACAAACCACCAGCTGACTAGGTACCATAAGAAAATAAACCATTACCTCAATATATCTACAAGAGGGCTAGAAATGAGCACAGTACATACACAAAGCAAAAGCTAGTATATATTTTTTGTTTACTTATTGATATTGCTTCCCTGAAACACTACCAAGAACAGTTTCTCTGAAATGCCACCAGGTCCACCAAGAAGAGCTGTCTTGAAATGCCACCAAGCAGTAAGAATGAACAACTTTTTTGTACATGGATTAAAAATACTTAACTACATATTTTGATCTTATTAGTACATTACATAGAAAAACTGTTAACTACTATATCATGCTTTGTTTTTAAATGTAATCCACCGCATTAGAAGGTGAAAGTTGTGTAATGCAGTTTTAACTTTATGGGGGAGAGAGTAGAAACTTACGACTTCTGCACGCCTAAATAGTCTGACTGCCAACACGTTTAAACCTACATAATCCAGAAAATAATACTGTGTACCATTTGAACAAGACTATAGCTGTGTACAACTCAACTAAATACTGAATACCACAAATAACTATCTATAGTATAAACGCATGTATAAGTCACGAAAGATCTACACAAAGAACTGAACACTTATTTTATATATGGTACTGGTAGCTTATTAAACATGCACTAAACCAAACACAGACAAAAGTAATCACTCAGAGATAACTGTGCAAATGAAATCCATACTGTTCCCGACCCAAGATTCTATAATTTTTAAGTAGTGACATTTCACGAGTGAAAATCTTTTATGCTTAATGTTTCCTACCTTAGTACTTATCTTTTGGTCTGCGTCTGTCAACAATACATATATCTTCTGTGTTTGAACAACACCTAATCTTTCCAAGTCACGTTGTAACTATATAAACGTTTTCTGATTTGTTTCGCCTATTTTTATTAGAAATTAAATGATGATATTTGGCTGGTAACCAGCGGTATAATGTGCGCTAGCTGTTCCTGCGATGTAAATTTATCGGTATACAGTAGTGAACAAGTGGGACACAAACGGTTAGTCACCTTGACGCATCGTGTGCTCCGCTCGTGTGTCATCGCGCCAATAATTATCGTCCAATGAAAGTTGGTGCCATACACAAGCTTAGGCTGCCGCTTTGTTTTTAGACGGCAAAAATCTTACCTTTTTGAATCTCTGTTTCGTTGAACTGAGCTTAACATGTAATAATTTCTGGCTGTCGCTCAAATTAAGTTATCCATGGGGAAAAGTCAGTGAACGGCTTATCTTCGATGACATTTGATACAGAAACTAACACACATACTACAGCCGATAGCGAAGTAATAATAGAATACCACTATCAACGCAAAACAAAGTATGCGTTAGCTTACACAATAGTTTTCTGTTCCTGCTAGTTGCATCTAATTAAAGCTTGTGTCCCCACGAATATTTTTTAGATTTTTTTTTCAAGTATAAGCTTTTAGCTCACATTTCCGTCATCCCGTGACCGATTTAAGGTCTCAGATTAATTTACTTTAATCCTGCCTAAAAGAATTTCAATTTGAGGGTAGGCTGGTAGAGATCCTGATCAGTAAAAAAATTGAATCGGGTATACGCGCGCCCCACGTTTGGTATAGTTGGCGCACAACAATATAGCTAATAATTTACTCTAATTCTGCCTAAAAAATTTTCAGTGTTGTGGCAATTGAGGATTCCCTCTTGTTTTCAATTGTGATAGACTACTCTACAACTCTGATTCGAATCTATGTAAGAAAATTCAACTTCTACTGTGCCTGAGAATATAGATCGAGGCCCTTTTCCTATCTCTGTCATATAAAAGTTGTTTTGTTTTGGTTCAAAGCTACACAACTGGATATTGCGTTCAAAGCTTGAGGGAAATTTTATCGTAGGAAGTTCTTCAACTTACGGGTGATCACGGGGTGATATGTGTGTGTGTGTTTATATATGGGGAAAATGTTCGGATTGTGCTCTGTAGTCATACGCGATTTGTTGCACTAGAATGATTCAATATATAGAGCTCAAAATTTTCATAAATATTACTGATATAAACTGTTGTGTGTTCATATATTAAAAGTGGTACAGTTTATTCAAAAAGAAAGCTTTTCTTTTCGTATTGTTACGTCTCTGGTCGTTGGTTAATTTTCCGTAGACATTCTTTCCGAAAAACTTCAGCGATACAAGTCCTTTCTTAAATAAAACTAGTTAATTTTTTCTCAATACAACTTTGCAATACACTTAATTTCCACAGTCACTTTAACTTTAACACACGTTATAATTAACAACGATTCACGCACTATACCTACGGTCACTACCGCGCTTGACTCAATTCTCCATCTCAATCTCTGCCTTTTTGTAATTCAATTAATCTCGCTTATATACAGGAATAGAGGGCGTCTAGCAAATACTGGATTATTCGTGATGCTCCCCAATCTTTATAGATACTCATTACATGTTACCAGGGTCACGTGACCTTCGCTGTCGTAACACTGCCCCTTTCTTAGTATTGTTCATCCCGAACAATAGCCACTTAAATTAAACCAATAGATAATTAACAATAACCTAATTAAATGTACAGAATTTACAAACACAAAATTACAATTCAACAAAGTCTCTTAATTTTACTGGATGTATCTTCTTCTGTACTGGTCTCTGTCTCGTTGGCTTCTACTTCACGTAAAGTTCATCTGCTCCATCAGGAAATGTCCTATTATCGGTAAAAGTCACATCAGTGGTAGTAACTTCATCAAGGGCTTCACTGTTTCCCTTCTCAAAACTGGTAGAGTTCCTTCTTGTACTG